AAACCGGATAACTAGAATCCGAAAATACATTATTTTAAATAATAAAACAATAGTAAAACCGGATAGTAAAAACCCGGAAACACGGACATTAAGAATCCAAAATTAATAATTAAAGCAAATGGAAATTATTTGAATTAGAATAACTATATAGAGATACTAGATAGCACCAGAAAAAGGACATGCAATTCAACGATTTATTATATCTTTACTCTTACTTTTTCACAATTATTAATCCATCAAATATTCTCAGTGAAAAGGGCTGAGACTTTTTGTTGATTCCTACCTAACCAATCAGCCTCCCTTAGCCTCTGTTGATTGATCAAGAAGAGCTTGTGGGGAATATATACCCTTTAGACCTTGTATTCACGTGTTATCATATGAAATTGTATGAGCGCATGTGAATACTGAGTCAGGCCTTGAACACGAATCGCAAAAATCCATTTCAGCAAGAATAAATCAGGTAAACGGTCTCCCGATGTCAGACGGTTAGTGCATCCCAGCACGCCCAGGTGTTCGGACGAGATGCCCGGGGCGGATTGACTTTAAAATACACTAGCGCTAATCCCAACTGGGCATAGTATCGTACACACCTCTGACCTCGGGACAGCTGGAGCACCTTGGCTATTGCGTGTTGCAACATTTAGATGTCATTGATTCTCGCGCACTACGTCGCGTCTGTGTAAGTGATGGTTGAGAGGGGAGGTGAAGTGGCACTATGCCGCTACCGTAAATAGCCCACAGTCAGTAACCAGGTTCGAATGCGCACTAGTGGTAGAGAGAGAAATCTCAGTCGCTAGTGCCTACTTATACCTCCACTTCTTTCCGCTTCTCACGCCACCCTTTCAAATACTCCACTCGCACTACAGCAGCCCAATACAATAACTCCAAGTCTACGATGCCGGCCTCCAACCCCCGTGTCCAGCCTACAGGTCTGTTTATACCTGGCGTTTTCCTCCTAGCCGCATTAGCTACTGCTGCATACCAAACCATAAAATTATACCTACCGCTTCTCCTCATATTCAGCTTCTTCTCCTACTTATCAGCGCAAACATCCAAACGATACTCAACCGCTCAGAGGGTATACCATCAGGCACCTACATAATTCTTCTGTCGATAGCCTGTGTCCTCGTCGGACTCGTTTGCGATAAATATACGAAAAGCACATGGGAGAGCTGCTTCTTCCACGTCGTGTTATCCCACTTTGTCTTAATGTGGTTTGAACAAAATCGCTTCTCCCGGCTCCGACGGAAGGTACAAGAAGAAGAAAAGGCTCAATCGAAGCACGATTCAGAGCAAGAAGCTAGCCAGACTCCCGAAGGCGATCCACACGCATGACCCACCGCGAAAATGGACTAGAAGATGGCAACCATCTAGGTTGTCTGAGTACGGAAAATTGCTATCTCGAACGAAATCATCATGTCTGATCGGTCTTTGTGGACCCTGTCTGAGACTAAGATTCGCATCGGACTTGGATGAGGAATCAGGACTCGATTCAAGGTGGAGAGGTCTCGACGATAGAGCCAGCGAACACAGCGACATTGCAAGTGTTATAATACTACGCTTATTAGTTTTGGCAAACTAGCACGCGCAATCGAGCTTCCTAAGCTATCTCACTCACGTCTTTAGTCCTAACTAATATTTTAGCATCTACAAAAGCAATCTAAGACCTAAAACACTCTTATATTGATTCCTAATACTTAAGAAGCTATAACACAGCATACTACGTATAAAAACACCAAGCCCCTCCCACAAGACTAAGACTTCTCTCCACTCGACCTCCCCGCTCGTATCAACAGCTATCACCCTTTCTATTCCACAGCCACAGACACAAATTCCAACAACGCCAGCAACCACGGATCTTACATACTCTCCAAATACCCACTATAACTCTCCTCCCCCCACGCCCAGTACATGCCTGGCAGTGCTACGAATGCCATCATGACAATATCCCGGAATACCCCAATAACATGTGCGGACAATCGGCGTAAAAGACTTTGTACAGAGTTCTTATTTTCTTTGGTGCGGCAGGCAGGTTGGTTTCGAGACGGAGCACGTGGGGATAAGAAGGATGCGAAGTGCTACAGCAGGTGGCCCTAGCGCCTCTTCGTGCCAGGCGCCTCCATCTTATTGACTCTGTACTATACCTTGTTTTGTGCTTCTACCTGTGAGATACAGCACGAAGGATTGGAGAATCGGTGGGACGTGATAGTTCTAGAATGCAGCAGGGAGAAAGGCGAGGAAAGATGTGCGGGTTGTGAATGTCTAGAGCGCTGTCAGTCTATGCCAGCAGGTTGGGTCGCGTTTCTACGTACTGCGTGGGGCTGCATGTGCTGGCCGTCAGTGAGGGCAGAGATCTCGACGTGACGCGCCCGCGACCTTTGCAGTGGTATTCAAAGAAGGCACCCGTGGACGAGCAAACATCTGATCGAGTCGTCCGAAGAAGGCGAAGAAGAAGCCCTGAGCGCTGAGCATGCCGCGATGCAGGCCTTGAGCTAGTCGCAAATGGAAACTCATGATGAAGGTGGCTAGGCTATCGGCCTATTCACGCCTCCGCTGCCAACCTTCTCTTCTCCGCCCTCGCTTTCTTCAGCTTCTTGCCCAACTCATTTCCCGCCTTGATTTGGTCTTCACTACGCAGCTTCTTCGCGCTCCTGTTCTCCTTCTTGCGAGCCGTGCGCTCTGAAGAACCACGCCACTTCGATGGGGTAGGAGGAGGAAGAACCGAGCCGAGAAATCCTAACATATCGATAAGATCGTCCTCATCCTCGGCCTCTTCCTCTTCCTCTTCCCCATTTATCATCCCATCCTCATTGTCCACTTCAATCAAAGGGAACCCGCAGCTCGTACAGTAACCAGAAACGTCATTATGCTGGTGCTGGATTTAGAGACAGAGAGAAGTCGGAGGCTGCTGAGCCAGTGCTGGAGAATGCGCTTTTATCTGATTGTATGGAGGTTCGGATGTTGCAATCGTAACGCTCGGAGATGTGAGGAGAAATTGCGTCACGGGCTGCCAGAGCAATTGTAAGGTAACTTTCGAGTGGACCTCCCGCAGAGCCGCAACGAGCGGGGCTGACGCTTTCGGGGGCATAGAAAAGGTATAGGCTACTTAGTAGTAGAGGCGCTAGGGTCAGGCCAGAGAATTAAGGGAAAGAGATAAGGAGGAAGCCTAATAACGGGAGGGTGAGCAATTTATAGACATTAAAAGCGGCGGGTTGATAGGGCGAGGAGCGATGCCCGATGAGGTTAAGCGCAGGATTGCGCTAAGCCCGAAGAGGGTGTCCCCGGACAGAGATTACACTGAGCCACCCTCAGGATATCTTTGACTGGATGGCCGGCGGTAAAGAGTTTAACGCCTCAGAGTTGTCGTTAAGCGAGTACATATGCCGCTACGCTGCTGGCCACCGCGATCTTGTCGCCATTCCGGTATTTCCTTCGCGGGCCTTCCGCCATGGCTTCATCGCTTTCAACAGTCGCACAGTCAATGAACACCAGGATCTCAAAGGCAAGAAGATTGGGGTCCAGATGTACACAATGACGGCTGCGGTGTGGGTACGGTCTGTGTTACAGAAGCACGGTGTTGACCTATCCACGGTCCAGTGGGTACAGGGAAGCATGGAGAGTGGCGAGTCCCACGGCAAACCGAGTGCTATGCCACTGTCGAAGCGCCGGCGGACATTGTGCAAAACAGTAGCGGAAAGTCTCTGAGCCAGCTACTCGAGGAAGGGAAAATAGACGCCACTATCGGTGCCGATTTACCGCACTGCCTAGGCAAGGCTTCGCACGTCAAGCGACTGTTCCCCGATTTCAAGGGGGTCGAAAAGGATTACTTTCGAGAAACCGGCATCTTCCCTATCATGCACGCAGTTGTCATCCGCTGCGAGATGTGTGAGAAGCACCCATGGCTTACGACCAGTCTCTACAACGCGCTGAACGACTCCAAAGAGGTGGCGCGCATCCAGATGCGATTTCTGGACTGCCTACGATACATGCTTCCCTGGTTGGCGCAGGAGCTGGACGAGATGGACGAGGTTTTCGGAGGCGATCCCTTCGTGTATGGCATCGATGCCAACCGCAAGACACTTGAGGCTCTCGTCAATGCTCTCCACGAACAGGCCATGATTGCCGAGAAGCCGCGGCTGGAGGATCTGTTTGCGCAAATTCGGGGTCAGAACTGGAAGGTTGGTTGGGGGACGACTATCATTACGAGGTAGACGAAGTATTCCCGTAAGAGCAAGGTGTAGAAGACGCCGGGTCATGCTGCCAATAGATCGGAGGTAGTATCGCCACTCGAGGGTACTGTAGACGAATAAACACTTCATAGCACCGTGCATTTTGGCACGAAGGACGAAACGGAGTCGACACGGCGACGCTAGATGACAATGACCCCACGAGTGACGCCCAGGTGCCCCAGCGAGGGCCCGGTCACATGAAGACGTGTGATGGGTCGGAGCAGTTGTCGCGTTAACACGTGGAGTAGCGCGACCGTTGCCGTGGGTACTTATCGATAAGGACTGTGTGTGTGCCAAGGCCGCAGCCTAACTACGAAAACAAACAGGACGGCCGCGACTTCCTCAACGCCAACGGAGCCCGTCAGTCCCATGTCAGCCCGGCACTCTCCCCAGTGACCCCATAATCCTAATGCAATGAGTAGCAGTCCCAGGAAACGCCGCGCTCCCTTCCGCCTAGTCGACACCATCTCGTCGCCACAGAAACCGAACTTCGCGACGCCTAGCTCGCCGGACAACGACGAGGAGGCATCATACTTGCTGGAGAGCGAAAGTGGATACAGTGTCGAATCTTTCCGAGGCGACCGCTCCGAGACCGACTTCCCAGCCAACTCAAGCTCACTCTTCGACGAGAACCGCAGCCTGATTCAGCTTGACACCCCACCCTCCACATTTCATCCCCGACACACAACAGTGCACAACAACGACAACTCACTGAGAGTAAACAAGATGGTTCGAGAACGGGAGCCCCCGATGGCTGCGCCACCTACACATCCTCCTGCTCCGAAGTCGTTGCAGGAGCTGGCCAGCAACGCGCCAGAGTTCGGCCATGCAAGCCCTCTTCGGAATCCCCTCAAGAAAGATGGGCAGCGAGACTCGTACTCGAACGTCTTCAATGTGCCAAAGCCGGGTCAGTCCAGGCCGGAATTTCACAGGGACCCTGTCCGCATGCCCTCCGAATACTCCTCTAATGCCCATGGACCCGGGGGCCGAGGACATCAGCGCGTCTTTTCACAGCAAGGCGCTCGGCCATACCAGAACCCAGCAGCAGTCCCTTCGCATCCATTCCAGGCCGGTCCTCCCCAAGTAGGTTCACGTTATAGCAATGCTTCCTCCACTGCTTCTGACGTCTTTGAGATTCCTGCCTCCCAGTTTCAGCCTCGTCAACCATATCAAGGCGTTCCGGTACCTAGGCCTATGAACCCCCCTGCGCACAACATACCGCCAGCGCCCCGGCCAATGTACTCTTCCGTGGGGCATGTTAACGGATTCCAGCCGGTGAACCAGACCTACCAGAATCCATTCCACGGCTCAAGGAAAACCATCATTCTTGATGATGCTACGCCGAAGCTATCTGCCGATGGGGATGAAGACGACTTTGACCCTGACGTAGAAATCCGTGCCCACGGTCAGGAATTCGGCGCGCCCGACATGTATGCATACGTGGACTCTTCCAAAGCCAATGAGAACATCAAAGAGCTGCTTGAGGGGGCTTTCGATGACGACAACGAGAAGATCCCCCGAACACGCGGCCGTAAAAAGAAGCAACAACAGGAGGATGACACGAAAACTTCGCTCGCACAACGCCTACAGGCTTTGGAGGTAAAGGAAGAAGCAAAGGATGCCTCGGCCGAGGACGAAGAGGACGACGACGGCACTGTGGAGGGTATGAAGGTCAAGCTTCTACCTCACCAGGTTGATGGAGTCTCGTGGATGATAGAAAAAGAGACGGGTGCCCACAACAAGCGTGGCAAACTTCCCAAAGGCGGCATGCTCGCTGACGACATGGGTCTCGGTAAGACTATACAGTCCATCGCATTGATTCTGTCCAACCCGCGCCCGGGAAAGGGTGTGGAACCCGAAAACAAGAAGAACAAGATCCTTCCGACTGTTGGCAAGGGTACGCTCATCGTCGCACCATTGGCATTGATCAAGCAATGGGAGGCCGAAATCAAGGACAAAGTCGCCAAATCATACAGTCTCAGTGTCCTCGTGCACCACGGCCCGAGCCGCACGAAGTCCGTCGACAAACTCAAGTCCTACGATGTCGTGATCACAACGTATCAGGTCCTCTCATCTGAACATGGAAGCTGCGGCGAAGGGCCTAATGGCTCGAAAAAGGGTTGCTTTGGTGTCCACTGGTATCGCACGATTCTGGACGAGGCGCACTCCATCAAGAACCGCAACGCGAAAATGTCAAAAGCTTGCTACGAGATCAATTCTCACTACCGATGGTGCTTGACCGGGACACCGATGCAAAACAACCTGGACGAGCTACAGAGCTTGATTAGGTTCCTCCGCATACAGCCCTACTGCGAGTATCCCAGCTGGAAGGACTCTATCGCCGGTCCCATCAAGAACGGTAGAGGGAATCTTGGAATGAAGCGACTTCAGGTCTTCTTGAAAGCGTTTATGAAGCGCCGAACGAAGGATGTGCTGAAGAAGGATGGTGCGTTGAATTTTGGCGGGAAGTCCAAGGATGGTGGGGAGAAAGGTGGG